CAAACGAAATGTAACATAAAAAAGTTAAAATAAACTTCAAAATACAGAATATAATCTCACATCAGGAATAATGCATTAAATTTCACAATTTATAATTCAAACATGGTAAAGAAAATCTATTTCTCTGCTTATTTAATACATACATTCTGATATAAATGTATTCATGAGATTGGTCCTACCACTGGACTACTTATCATATGGCTAGTAACCAGACATGAGGAATTTTAATATTACTTTCAAGTCTCAACGAAATAGAAACCAGACAAATAAAACGAATGATGATATAAGGCAAAGAACAAGGAATAATCACAATTGGAAAAAAAATAACATTATTAGGTATACTACTTGGAATGTTAAAGGCACTAATGGGAAAGAGGAAGAATTAGACTATCTATTCCAGGATGAAAAAATTGACATAGCTATCACTTCAGAAACAAAGAAACTAAAGGGAACAAAAGAAACTAAAAATTATACACTTATTTATAGTGGAATGAATAAGAAAACTCATGCCCAAGCAAGTATAATGATTTGTGTACATAAATCTCTTAAGAAAAATATCCTTCATTATACATACTGTACAGAGAGAATCATGGAAATCTGTTTAAAAAATTAACAGAGGTAATTTAACCATTATTTGTACCGTACATATGCTCCCGAAGAAGAAAATGAAGACTTCTGTATAAAGTTGCAAGAAATTCTTAATAAAGTTAACAAGAACAATTACACCATAATAGCAGGAGATCTGAATGTAAGAATGGGAAAGACTCCAGTAAATAAAAATATTGGAACCTTTGGAGAGAATACTCATAACAGAAATGGCATTAGACTCATTGATTTTGTTGTTTATAATAATCTTAAAATAATGAATACGTTTATAATCATAAAAATATACATAAATATACTTGGCAACAACAGCAGTCTGTGGGGTCCCAGATGAGGTTTGAACTCGAGTAAACTGTGAAATTCTTGCACGACACAAGATGTAAACATCAAAGAGACTCGGAACTGTTTAAGCATGTATCAAATTAAATAATCAAAATAACTAAAAAGAGACTCGGAACTGTTTGAGTATGTATCAAATTATCTGTCAAGGTCTTGACAGAAGACAAACTCTAACACGAGCGCTCATAAACAGGTAGATCTTTGATTCGCGTGTCTATAAAATGTTGGCCAAGATAAACCTTTACGAACAAAAAAAGGGAAATTTTTGATAGATGAAAGATGAAAATGATCATTAAATTCTTAGACATCAAGAAATGGTAAACAACGGCCTGAGTTATGAGTGCAGGTGTTATTGTTTTATAAACAGTCACCGAGCAGAGTCAACAAAGAGGTATCAGATGGACACCTCAAATCGGACCTTTCCCGTGACCCGAAAAAGTTTTGTCTTGCACCTGGAGACAAAGGAGAGACCAATCGGGAGGCGAGGAATGGGACGAAGGACCAATCCAAAATGCGAATAGTGGGGGAAAAACTATAAAATTCGAAACTTCAAGGTCGAAAGAGTGTCTCCTCTGGATTAAGCCTACCGTTGTGATTTAGATTGTGTTGTGCAACCGCCGATCACCCAGGACGCCGCAGCTTAACAACAAACATTGGCATCGTCCAGTGATCCTTCTCATCCGCCCGGGCTACAACAGATCACCCGAACTTTCACCGTCCACAGGAGCACCAAGATTTTGGAATTGTCCAATATCAATGTAAGCATGAACTCGAACAAATAAACAGGCTTTCTCTTGTAAAACACTTGTGCTTCATTTGCCTCCTTTGCCAATGCCTACATATGCGGTTTCCCTTAGGCTCATTCTGACGTGAGATAAATTGTCTCCCCCTTTAATGTCAGCAAACTTACAAGTCCAAATCAATCATTGATTATTTTATTGCTAATGAAAAAATGTCAAAATTATTCCTAGATGTCAGATCATACAGAGGATTTGAAGTAGGCTCTGATCACTTCCTAACCCAAGCAAAATTAAGAATCCCACCAAGGTGGCTAAAAAAGAAACCAAATGTTAGACATGAACCTGAACGAAAATTTAAAGTAAAATTATTATATGATGATAGTATCAAATGGTTATATAACAGAAGAATTGAACAACATATGGAGAGAATTCCAAAAGACAGATATATAAAAAAATATCAAAACAATAATAAAGGCAGCAGCCAATGAGTCTCTAGGCACAGTAAAAGTCAATTCCTGTGAAAGAAGGAAATTATGGGACAATGAAATCAAATAACTAATATTACAGAAAAACACAGCATATAAAAAAATTTTTAAGTAGTAAAAAAGCTGAAGATGCAATAGAATACTAATGCTGCAGAGCAATTGCAAAAAGAGAAATAAGAAAAAGACAACAACAATCATGGATAAAATTTATTTCACAACTAGAATCAGATCTCTACAAAATAAGACCAAATTCCTTCAAAATATTAAAATTTATGAATCAAGAAATTAAAGAACCCATTAAGATTAATTGTAGTGTGACAAATGACCAGTTTCTTAATTATTGTCAAACATTTTGGACAGATCCTACATATACTAACAAGATTTTTGAAAGCAACAATCAAAATAGGACTGAATTATCAAAGGAAGAACTGTTTGAAAGTTTAACCAAAACAAAAATGGAAAAGTAACAGGAGATGATGGCATAAATGGAGAGTTATACAAATATGCTGGTGATAAATTCCACAGGAGATTATTAACATTCTTCAATAATACATATGAACAAGCCTGTATACCGATTGAATGGAAGAAGAGTATTGTACTGCCTATTCATAAAAAAGGAGATAAACGAAAATTAGATAACTACAGAGGCATTAGCCTGCTAAATACCTGTTTTAAAATCTATGCTAGAATTCTAAATGAATGATTAAAACAAGAAGGTGAATAATTTCTTTTGGAATATCAAAATGGATTCCGAAAAGGCAGATCTTATATAGACTCAGCTTTCTCCATTAAATTATTACTAGAGAAATGAAGAGAATTTAATCTGAATACACATTTAGCTTTCATAGATTATACCAAAGCTTTTGATATGATAAAAAGACCCAAACTTTTTGACATCCTACAAAACAAAAAAATATACCAAATATTTTATTTCAAAATATATGTAATATTTATAAAAATAATACCATACAACTTAAGTTCAACAAAGCCGCTTCAGAATACAGAAGAATAAATCAAGGAGTAAGACAAGTACAGTAGAGTGTCGATTATCCGAAAGTCAATCATTCGAAAGAATTCCAGTTGGCAAATTTAAATTTTCGCCAGTGCTGTGGCACTGTAATCTTTGGCTATGTCTTCGGCTACTCAAATATTTTATGTTTTTGATACTAAATTAACTTCTGAAGTATAATTTTTTATTGTTTTTATATTTTTCAATATATTTATTTTGTTTGTATAAAATAAAAAAATAATTTTTAACGATACAATAGTCTTTGTTAGGCTTAACATCAACGAAAATTCAACACAAAGCGACATGCAACGGAGAAAAATGTCAAGATGGGATAAATTAATATATTTTTTCGTACATAATCAGTTATCCGAAACATCGATCTTCCGAACAACCCCAGTCCCCAATTGATTCGGATAATCGACGCTCTACTGTATGTCCATTGTCACCAACACTTTTTAACATCTATATAGATGACATAATACATCAATAGCAGGAAGAATATATACATCAGGAATTCAACTTCCAAACAACATAAAATTCAATACCATGCTATTTGCCATTGATCAGGTAATAATTGCCAACTCTGAAGATAATTTACAAAAAGATTTATTTACCTTAAATAAAATTTCAAAAAAATACAGCATGAAAATTTCAACTGCTAAAACCAAAGTAATAGCATTTAGAAGCACAGAGCCAATATGCAGCAAAATCATAATTGATAAAACAATTTTAGAGCAAGTTAATAATTTTCTTTATCTAGGATGCAATATTTCTTATGAAGGTGAGAATGACATAAATAATAAGCTTGCAAAATTTTTACAAATATTAGGAATAATAAATAAAATTTTAAAACCACACCTTGTACAAAAACATTCCAGACTAAAATTATATAAAACTCTGGCTCTTCTGACTCTCCTGTATGAAAGTGAAATCTGGGTCCTAAAGAAGAAAGATATCAAAAGATTACAGGCAGCCGAAATGAGGTTTATGCACCAAACTGCTGGATATATGCTCCTGGATCATTGTTGAAATGAGGATATTTTGGAAGAACTCCACATGCTGCCATTAATTGAAAAACTCTCCACATATAGAAAAAAAATGGCTTCAACATATATCTCAAATGTTGTTAGGTATATTAAATACTTGGATTGGATGTCACACCAACAGTTGTGTTAATTCAATTAGAAACTTCAGACTAGGAGACTATTCTCTTTAATGCCTCCTAGTCTGAAGTTTCTAATTGAATTATCTCAAATGTTGCCAGGTAGGATACCTCATGCAGTTTTACGTTATCAATCACAAGAACAATGGCAACCTGGACGTCCACAAAAATTACTCCTAGACCCTGTCTAGCTGAGACCGAAACAGGTCAACATGGCCTAAATTTGTGAATGGTGTATGATGATGATAATTACATCACATATTTATGTTAAGTAAAAACAGCTATTAATCAAAATATGCAAAAACTTTCCATTCAAATCCAAATAAAATTACTGTAATACAGTAGTCATATTTTGCTATTCTGTATTGGGTACATGTATTTTTTGACTTTTTTTATGATTTATACATGCTAGGCTTATAAACTTCTTGTTAAATTTGTGTTAAATCAGATAAAGATACCAATTTTTCCGTTATATGGCCTGATTTTCCTTTCTGTTTCCGTGTTGGACAGGTTTTCACTATATACAGGTTCTGTTATAGACAGGTTTGACTGTATATACAATTGTGAAAAATTTGTCCTTTTTCATCAACTGAAGATTGTAGCGATATATGCATTTTAACTGTATATTTGTAACTACTTAAGATCAGCTTTACATCACTAACCTGATACCATCGTAATGTCAATTCTGCAGAAGGATTTCTGTAAAATCCACCAACGTCAGCTCCACAGAAAGACATACCGGTTATACTCAAAGATAAAAGCATANCTAATTTTATAATGGAGAAATTCAACTTTTCTAAGAAATCAACTATTAAGTTATGGTAATCAATCTACTTATTCCTTTAGAAATGTTTTCAGATTAATTTAGTGGATCATCAGCAATCCAAGCAGAACTTAGATACAATTATGAAAATGGAATTTTAATTTTACATTCTATTTTTTGAATTTGTCTTTCCACTTTGAGTGTTAATGATGAAGTAAATTATTTGCAAATATTTCTTCTAAAGAAATAAGTAGTTTGATTACCAAAACTTAGAAGTCAGTTTTTTAATATTTTCATAAAGCTTTAAGAATAACCAGTTCAAATTTTTTAATAAACATGAAATTATGTAAAAAATGCTTTAAGCATAGGCTCATGATCTGATAAACAAAACTACAATTTTAAGTATAACAAGAGTAAAAACATAATCTGTCATAGGAAAGAAACAAAACAAAGAAAAAAAATAAAAAATACAGTGGGTGATCGGTTAATGAATACTTTCGCAAAAGATTTTTATGATCGGACAACGAACACATGATCGAATAACGAATACTTCACTGAACACACATAAAAAGAAGCGACAGAAATAGCAAATATGGATTCATTTTCCTTTGTCTTCAGGTAACTTTTTGGAGTGCGGGAGACGTCAAAACTTCGACGCTCAACCCGATATATACTGATCAGATAGTATTCCTTGAACTTTGAAATACTCCCTTGTAATTCCAGCCTTTTATTTTTCTGACAAACAATTCTTTTATAGTATTCGTGAGACTGTTGGGCAGGCACTCATTAAGTTTTGCATCAATTTTTATTTTTGAAAGATGAGAGTATAATAGCAAAGGTAGAGAGTGGGCAGATGTCTGATGTTGCTGGGCAGTATGGCTTGAACAAATCTACGGTAGGGTGCAGTTCAATCTTATCTAAGAAAGATACAGTATAATTAAGAAAACTCAAGCAGCTAAAGGAGTAACAAATATCACATCTGAGAAATAGAGAACATTGAAGAGCTCATAATGGAACCTGAAACGGATCTGATGACAGAAGAACGCCAAGAACTCTTGAATAAAGAACACCAAGAAACTCAGCGAGATATGTTTTCTTCTGAAAAAAAGGATTAATGCCGATATCTACTATTAATTAAAGATCTTTTGAAGAAGTGGGGGATGTCAGAACAACAGTCTTAGAATGGCATACAAACCAGGTTGAGGTTAATAGGCTTGGAGATCTCTATTACAATGCTATTAATTCTGAAAATCCTGAAGAAGAGAGAGAAGCAATTGACATTAGACAGATTATTTAACCCCCACAAACAAAAAACATGACTAATAAAAATTCAAGTCTGTGTACATATGTATTTTTATTATTATATATAAATAAACGTAGTAAGAAAGTATATATATATATATTTTTTTGGGGTCTCCAGAACAAATTAATCAAATTCCCATACAAACCTATGGTAAATTGATAATCGGTTAACGAACAATTCAGATAGCGAACAAAGTCTTGGAACAGATTATGTTCGTTAACCAATCACCCACTGTATACAATATAAACAAGTAGCAACTTTTGTTGGAAAACATAAAACAAGCAAGCTTTGGCATAAAACTTTCAACAAGTTTTAGAATAAAACATATTTTAATAAAGGATATGAAACTAAACTAGATAAATGGTATCTATTACTGGATTTAAAATTAATTTATTTAAATTGTATAAAAATGACTGGTGAAAAATTACTTAATTATGATGAATGGTTAGGTTCAGGTGTTCTCCTACTTAAAAACAGGTTAAATTCCTGAGGTTTTGTTGTAACTTGAAAACTTACAGAATAATGACTTATTGTAGGTGTACAATAAGTCATTATTCTGTGTACCTTTGTACACAAAATAACCACTTATTGTTAGTGTTTGATCCTTCAATGTATTTAATAGAATACACTATGATCATTTACCCTCTCACTACTGCTTAGTAGCAGGTGTTTCACAAACATGTTTTTTTTTTCACCTAATGCACTTTTATAATGTCAAGTTTAGTTTCCATGGTAATAGAGTAGCACTTCTTGTATTTATCTCCACTGCTAGATTTACTATTACATTTTGGATACACTTTTGAAGCACTAATTGTAAAAGTTTATAAAAATTGCAAACAATAGTAAAAAATGCTATTACTCCAATGTTACCAACTTTAATGTCACCTCACCAGTGGCAATAGAATGTCAAAATTTACATGAAAATGAAAAATGACAATATGCAATAGAAATAAATCCACATTAATTATTTATTACTGGCCAAAGACAGACTTCAACACCACACCACAACCGGCAAGAGAACTTCAGAATCCACGTGAAATTTAAATTTTACATGTACAGGTACAGTCTAATTGTTCACAAGTAGGGGAGCTCTATAAAAATTTATTAATTTTTACACAAGTCATTTCTTAAAAGCTAATCTTTTTACATTCTAATTTTATAATGGAGAAATTCAACTTTTCTAAATATATTCAAATCTTTCTTACAATTTATTTACTGCAAACATTTTTCAACAGCTATACTGTAAGAATTTTTCCTTTTTCATATCATAATACCATATCTCTTTCCATATAATCATTCAAAATTATTTATACATGCACACTTCAAATAACATTAAACTCAATTTGTGATCCCATAGTTTACTATTGAAAATAAATAAATATCAAAAATATTGTAACATTTATAAAAATAAAAATATTACACCTACTTGAATTCTTTTATATTTTAATGCAATACGATTTTTCTCCTTTTTGGATTTTGTTGATTTAATACTTTTTCTTTCTCTATTTTTGATCTTGGAATTATTTTCCTAGATTAATAAAACTATTAAAAATTAATAATTTTATACAAATACAGACATTTTTTAAAATAAAAATAAATCAAAATTATAATTTTTAGTTTTTTCAGTTAAAAATATTATAAGACACTACTGTACTCCAATTCTCAGTCAGTCATCATACAACATACTGCTTTATTTGGAAAGACACTTCTAAACACATCATTTCTTATAAACCAAGTGCTTTTGAAACTGTGCTTCACCTCAGGGTTTTTATTGTTCATAAAATATCAATTTCTTTACATTAAACATCTCTTTTTTCCCCTCTTTATTACTATTATTTCCAAAATCAAACATACACAAAACAAATGTTTAGACTCCAAATTCTTTTTTGAATCAAACACTCATAGCAGACAAATTCTTTTCAAATCTGATGTGGAGTACCCTCTATGACTAATGTCATTTTACTTTCCTGGCTGCTATTTATACATAGAGGTAAAATAATACTATAATACTATAGGTAAAATATTGAAATCATTTCAAATTTTATCCTCTAGGCTGTTTGTAAATCTTCACATTTTGAAACCTCCTGAACCCAAAAAAGTAAAAAAAGCAATTCCGTGTGTGTGTGTGTGTGTGTGTGTGTGTATTTCATTTAATATCTCATGATGGGGTAATGATTAAGAAACAATCCAAGATCCACTATGTCACAAAACAAATGAACCACCATAAAAAAACTACTTTGAGAAGTGAGCATTTTCGTCCATTTTTAAAAGGACATCCTCAGGCTGGTGTTCTAAAATTCGGATTGAACATTTTTAAACAGTTTGTTTGTTTGTTTGTTTGTTTTAGTTTTTTGGCACAAGAGCCATGTAGGCTAAGCTGCGCCAAAGCAAATGGTAAAAATTTAAAATATCACACTAACGAACATAGGACATTATTAGATAAATAAATAAATAAAAAACAGCAAATATATACAAGATAACTAAACAAAAACAAGGTAAATAAAACTCTAAAATAAGTAAGTAAATAAATAACTAATCAAATATCTCTATACATATTATTGACTTTCAGAAAGTCCACTATGTTGTCCAGATTTGGCCTCTGACCCAAAATCTCTCTCAAACTTGCATTTCTGAAATGCTGTCTATGACTTTGATCGAGAGCAATGCAGTTGCATAGTATGTTTTACACTTATAATGCAGATGCAATACTCACATACTGGCTGGTCTTCACCCTTCAAAAGGTATTGATGAGTCAACCGAGTATGCCCAATTCTCAAACGACTAAGAATAACTTCAGATCTCCTGTCATACTGTTTGTTACATGTCCAATTTTCTATCATAGGTTTGATCTCGTGTAGTTTATTGTGGACTTGTGCATTCCACACATTTTGCCATCTCTCTGCTAGTCATTTTTTAACAACTAGCTTCAAATCACCTCCTTCAACATGCATTATATGCTGTGAAGGACTAGCTGCCTTTGCAGCTGCGTCAGCTTCTTCATTTCCTTTTATACCTACATGGCCTGGGACCCAACAAAATTTTACAAAGAAATTACTTGCAATAAGATGGCAAAACAGTTTATGAATTTTAATCACTATGGAGTGGGAACTAGGTTCACACGAGATCAAAGCCTGAAGTGCACTAACTGAGTCAGTGTATATAACACAGCAACGATGACCTTTCCTATTTATATACTTTAGAGCTAAATAAATAGCATGCAACTCTGCAGAAAAGATAGAAGAATTTGATGCAATTTGTTCTGCCACAATTTCATCCTGGCAGACGAAAGCTGAGCCAACGTAATCATCAGATTTAGATCCATCTGTATAAATAGGAATTAAATTCCTGTCACAATGTTGAATTTCTGCAAAGTGCTGTCTGTAGACGTAGTCTGGGGTGGATTCCTTTGGAAATTGCTTTAAGCTAAGGTCAACATTTATCACAGGTGTTGACCAAGGAGATATACTACAGACCTCTAGCTGTGAAATGTTGCCTGTGTTCAGGTCAATCGAGCTACTCACATTCTCCATTCTTATGGCAAATATAGGGACACTGCTTGGGCGAGCTTCAGATAACCTATTCAGTGGAGTATCTAATACTGTACAATCAACTGAAGGTTTAGTGTGAGATTTCTGTTTTATATAGTAAAATAGAGACAACTGTTCTCTCCTGAGAGATAGTGGAGGCTCATAAGCATCCACATACAAACTTTGTACAGGAGAAGTTCGAAAAGCACCAGTGCACAAACATAGTGATTGATGGTGGATTGGATCCAGCATCCTAAGAGTAGATTCTCGCGCAAAGCCATAAACAATGCAACCGTAGTCCAGCTTAGAGCGAACAAGGGCCCTATAAATCCTGAGCATAGAAACTTTGTCTGCTCCCCAGGATGAGCAGCATAGTACCTTTAAAAGGTTTAGAGATTTTAAACATCTATTCTTCAGATTGCGCAAGTGTGGCAAAAATGTCAGTTTTTGGTC